TTCTGTCACTTGAAGAGAAAACCTATTATGGCAACAGACCATAAAAGAGACTCTGTTTGGGAATATTTTAATGATGTTTTTCTACACGTGGGTAAGTTAGGCATGCATGCAAAATGCAAATAGCAGAACAAAGAAATGCAAGGCCCAAATGAAACAACATCATGAGAAGTGTTAACTTTCAGGAGGAAGCTGAGTTGAAGATGATGAAAGGAACATGTCTGAACATGCAGGATCTTCAGGCTGGTAAACTTCTTTTATTCCATACTTCTTTCTTAAGGACTACTGGTCTTCCTTTTGGACTATTCTTGAATTCTCATGTTTGAGCAAAAAATATAGTTGTTACTCTACGATACTATAACATCTGATGCAGCTGTGATAAAAAATAAATAGCTGAAATAGGCAGCTCTTTCTTCTACAATTTTACCTTTAAAGTAGAACTGAGTGTCAGTGATTGCAATGAGTAATACTAAATGAGCAGTATGCTAATAATAATTAAACAAATGCATTGACTTATTTTGTTTAAGAGAATCCATCCTCAACATACACGATTCTTAAGACTACCTCCTTCAAGATCACCATCATTTTCTATAGTTTCAGAGTCATCTGCCAATGATAGGGTTTCAGCCACATCATGTATGTCACATAGCCCTGCTCCAAGGCCACAGCCCCTGGCCAGATCAGAGGTGGGCTTAGGTAAGAGTTGCCCAGGAAGTCTGGGCCACAGTGCGGAGACCCAGACCCTCCACCTGCTCTGTGTGGAAGAGCCAGGGTGCCCACATGCAGCCACTGGCCTACGGCTGGGAAAAATATGATCTGTGGGCCACATCCAGCAGATCAAGCCACAGATCTGGCCTGCCCTGCTCCCACTCAGTGAAGCCAGCTGCTGCAGGGCCATGGGCTTCTGTGAATGCTGAGAGCCCGGGGGACGGAGTAGAGGTTTCTTACACTACGCCTGCTCCCTAATAGCTCACATTGGCCAGTTTCCAGCCAATAGCAGCTGCCTGTTTGCAGGACAAGCAGCATGTGAAGTGGCCCTCCTCCCTCATCCTCCAGGCTCACATGGCCCCTGTAGCTGCTGTGAGCAGTACAGGAGTGTGGAAGGCAGAGACCCTGGTTAAGGAATCTGCTGGGTGCTGAGCCACTCAAGTAACGTTTCCCAGCCCTTTCCTCACCCAACCCTCTGCCCCCCTACCCCATGTAACTCAAACCTTCTGCATCCCTGTTCCAGCCTCCATACATCTTCCTAGACACTGCATCCTCTTCTACACCCTTCCTCAGGTCACAACTGCCTCCCAGACCTTGAACCCTAATCTATTATCTCTGGTCATGGTCCAAATCCCTGCACCTCTGCCCTAGGTTATGACCCCCTCACAGACACTGTACTCCAAGGGTGGGCAAGACAGCCTCTGCAGGCCAGATCTGGCCCACCAAGTCCTATGATCCAGCCTGCAGCTGCTCTGCCACTCCCCCGCCCCGAGGCCAATTGAGATCTGGCACAGGGAAGCACACAAAGTCTCCTCCCCCCTATTAGAGGTGCAACACCAAAAGGAACTGCCAGCTGTTCAAAACAGCTGGCAGTTCTCTCTAGGCTTCACACAGCCCTGGTAGGGCGGGGGGCAAAGATTTCACTTGCTCCCCCACCCTCAGGCCAATCAGGGTCTGTGCGCAGAGGAGCATGTGAAATCTTCTGGCCCTACCCCATGTCCCTATCACCCCCAGGAGTGGTGGAGAGTCCAGGGCTCCCCACAATGGAGAGCAGCCCCCCCCGGCACCACTAGCAAGCACTGTACTTTGCAGCAGGTGAGCCAATACTTTATCAGGTCCTTCTCCGCAAAGTGTAGCCCCCGACTCTGCTCACATTGCTTGCTCATATTAAAGAGTGGTGGGTCTGTCCCAATATTCCCTGTAAAGGGTGTGTTTCTGCAGCTACCCAGGGAAAAAAAAATCAATTGATGCCCAGCTGATTAGCAGCTCACAGCTAAATTTTGTGTGATGCCTCAGTGCACATCCACACATGGATGAAAAAGATTAGAGCGAACATTAGCATGTCCTAACACCCAGTTCCAGAGCTCCTAGACCCCTAGGACTCTGATAAATCTTAATCTACCTCTTATAAGAACAGGATGTTTGCACAGATTGTAGAGACGGGTCAGGGTGCCTGTACCAACAGGGGAGAAAGCAGTGGGGTTGCAAAGATTACACAAAAGGTACGCAGTAAGAGGTCAGCACCCGGTAGATGGCGGACAGATCACAGAGCGGCGTCAGGGTGGAGGGAGGTCTCAGGCAGAGGCCGGGTGGGAGCGGATACACTACTTGCAGGGATCGGGAAGGACGAGAGCGGGCATAGTCAGATGTGGAGCGCTGGTCGCACGGCGGGCACGGCTGGTCTTAGGGAGACCGCCTGGCGAGTCTATGCCCGGGGGGCGGACACGTCTCAAGCGGGGGGCGAGACGTGCAGGGCGCTGTGGGGGTAGCTGGGCCCCGCCAACACTGACCAGAGTGATGCCAGGATCGTCGGGGACACCCCGCGCCACAGCCGCGGTGCCCAGGCCCGCCCCAGCCCACCC